ACCCGCCCGTGGTATTCCGCTCACACCGAGCTTCTCTGCATTGCTGTGCAACTTTGGAGAGGGTGGCCTTGTCCCATCATCTATCTGGGTTCCATCCAGACCAGAAGAGTTGATTGTGTATACTAGCCACACGAAAGGATGACCGGGGGATTTGTCGCTGGTTGATCGTCCGTGATTGAAGAATCTGAGATCTGCTTCTGAATCAATTTCAATTCCTCGCAAACGAAGCGGTCCTGGTCAAGAGCGATGTCCAACACACGGAGGGCGGAGCGGTAGTCCATCTTGCGAGATGTCACGAGGTCGAGCACACCCACGGGACCAGACATGCCCTGCTGGTAGTACTGTTGCAGGACTATTCAACTGAGGGCCAGAAGCGTCTGGCCGCTCTGAGGATCATTGGCGACGTTCCCGGGCCATGGTAGGCTTGACTCCAGCGACCGCCAGCTCCGATACTCGGTGTGGCAGGCGATGTCCGCGTAGAGGCCCTTTTCTATGGCCATGGTTTTATAGAGACAATGTGAAGCGGGAACGACTAGATTCATGTTCAGAGGGGGGAATAAGAAAAATTGGCCAAAGGCTTTTACTTTTACACATAAGCAAAGGCCATACTCGAAGACAACCAGTCCGGAGCACGCAACTGAGACGGCGCATCGTGGAAGAGGAACCCCTTGCATTCAGAGGGGGGGCCACTAACTGACTGTCGCTGTCCCTCCTTCCAGGCAAGATAGATACAATTTGCTGGGTTTCTCTGAACAATATGCATTCTTGCATTCATCCCCTGCTCCATCCCTTGACGCATTCCAATGGAGACTTGAGTGGTTATTCGCAATAATGGCGATCAGCTAGAAAAATGTACATGCATGTCTCAACTGACCACGAGTTAGTCGGAGTCCCCACGGGCAACTGGCGTAAGGGAATTCTGCAACTCAGAGAGGCGACAACCACGACCCCCTTTGTACTGTATTGGGCTCTGATCCGCCGAGGGGATTGGTTACCTGGGCCACCCAGGGACTGTCTAGAGTATTCTGGCGTAGTTTTGGCTAAAACCTCTACTACTTGGGGAGCAGCTTCACCGACGCTGAAAATATTGGCTGTTCACAAGATTGGATGGGACAAGGGAAATGATATCTTGATGGCTATCAGCCACAGACTCGGTAGACCCATATAAAAGCACTACGTCGGTCTACCTGATACATGTAACATACAAATGTATGGTGCTGCTGAAAAAGGGACACCCCCTCAGAGCACCTCAGAATAGATCAATGAGACTATCAGCTAAGATTGGCTTCTAGCAGGACTGAGATGTTCCGCTATGTCCACTTTGCCAGGCCGGCGAGGGCTACATCTTCGCGGCACGAGGCCGGATTCGCGCCTCAATTTCACTATTTTGAAAGAAATACGCACTCGTAAATATATTGAAAGGAATTTCCTGTACGCCAGGCATGCAAGTGACATCGAAATCGAGGAGGATTTTGGCGAAGACGGTTTGGATGACTCTGCTCGCCATGAAGCGACCTGGACAGGTGCTGGTGCCGTATCCGAAGGCTAGAAAATTGTCGGATGTGGTCGTAACACGGGCAGTACAGGACCCCGACGACGCATCGTAAAAGCGGTGGCTGTCAAACATCTCCGGGCTTGGATACAGATCCTGATCTCGGGCCATCCAGTACCATGGCAGCGTGAGGATCGACCCTGGGGGAAAAGTGCGGCCAAGGGAAGGGATGTGGACCGGTTTTATCACAAGACGACTCGAGGAGTCTGGTAGGTTTGGTTGCTTGTTAGTGTCTCGCTAGAACGGGTGGCGGGGAGATTGCGCACATAGACTGGAGCTGTGAAGACGCAGGGTTTCACGCATAAAGCTCTCCAGCTTGGGGCATTGGTTCATCACGTCAGGACAGGTACATTGTCCCGCGGGCAGGGCTGCCTGTAGCTCCTCACGGAGAGGTGCGATGCACTCTGGATTTACCATGATGCGGTATATCATTGCAGACAGGATCACTGTGATCGGTAGAGCAGTTTCAAAGTGAAGGAACATGATCTTGTCAGCTATCCGGCTGATTTGCTTTTCCTCATCGTAGTACCTGGTCTCACGACCAATTGTGTTTTCAGCCATACACTCCTCGACCACGGCATCCAGTAGCGAATAGGACCTATCTTCAGACTTTTCGGAGCGTAATCGACGCACCTGACAGCGAATCTCAGGGATGAGTCTGCTCTTGAGCTCGTTCATGACTGTCCTCATTTTCCGATTTGTCGGAGCAAACCGTGAGATTAGGGAATGCACGGCTCTTGGGAATCTGATGCAAGTGATTGTATGGGACATTATCAAAGAGTGGTAGGACATGTAAAGCTCAAGGAGCTTTTGGTCCAATGCGAACTCAGGGCCCATGATGCACGCAATCATAATCCGCGAGTTGATATAGCTTATTCTTTCCATGACATTGATCACCTGCCATCCTGCGGTTGAGTTGGTCACTTGTCCGGGTTTCTCTCCTCTGCACTCGCATCCACTCACCTTTTTCGCCGGGGCTCACGGAAAACGCGGACGGTATGATTTGATCGACCTGACTGGCGACCTTGTCGGAGAATGCATCTGAGACTAGTATTAGCGCTCCTCTCCCTGAATTCCCTATTTTGGCATCCCAAGGATCCTCGAAACTCACCCAGATAAGGCTTCTTATTGCATTTGATGAGGGCATTGGTCACTGTCTGCGATGCCAGGTCCGAGTGGAGGTGGTGCATATTTTCCTGAAGGGGTCACTAGCCTGACTTTCTCGGCTTCTTGGGGGTGGGCCTACCTTTTCGACTGCTTTGATGAAGCTGAGATGATCTTGTGGAAGATAGCTCCATTCCCTGGCCGACTGTGGTGGGAGGCATATCGCGTAGAACCGGTTGAGACATCTTATAGCCCAAGGTAAGCCATTTTTGGTATACTGTCGAATGAGTAATTGTAATTCCGAATGGAGACAACAGATACATAAACTCTCACCTGTTGGTACGCGTGAGCAGTCTCGTTAACTAGATCGTACTCGGTTGACCTCCATCGCAGCAAAGAGCAAACGTCACTCTTCATACCGACTATGGGAATATCTCCCAATTGCTTTCGGATGCTCCTTCCATAGAGATAGTCGTCCACAACGATGGCGAGGCAGACAGTAAGCGCACTCGCGAGCACAGCCAGCACAGATCCCTTTACAGGATCCCAGTTTGGAAGGAAATCCATGGGAGACCTGAAAACAATGTAGCTGTTATTGAGATTGTACTACCCATCTGTACTGGGGGGAAAGGGAGGAGGAAAATATATTGCTTCCCCTCCCAGTCTGTGCGATTAATCCCTTTTTCCCCTTCTGTCTTATTGAATAACATGCCGCTAGCTCCCCCTTGCAGCGTGAGTGCAAATGAGCTCGTCAGGCGCGTTCTCTTCTCCAAGTTCACCGCATGAAGGTGGATAGGTACTCTACCATGTCGGTGAGACAACAGGCATGCATAGTCCAGATTCATTTTATTGCCTGTTTGTATTCACACTTAAAATCAAAATTAAGGGAGCCCTTACTGACTCTCCCGTGCCTGTTTTGCTTTTCACGTTTGCCTAGATTGACACAATTAAACAAGACCCCGTCTTATAAGACTATAGTTAATAGAAGAGAGTAACTGCTAGTAACAGAATTATGGGTATCATGAATGTCACTTTCCTCGTGACTTACACCATGCATACTGGTACTTCATTCTAAACCCCATGGGCTGGTGGACAGTAGCCCGCTTATGTTCCCCGTCAGGCATCTCAGCAGGCTTCCCTGTAGTCTGAGGCACCAGCACATCGTCGCTTCTCGGATTTACACGACATACGGGAAGGATAATCTTTCCGTACTCGTACTCGTACCCATGCCTGGTGGTGGGCAAGAATCATCACGCGATGTTTAGACGCAGGCAGGTAGCCATTACTCCATATTTCTCCAAAGCTCCCCATGGTGAACCAGATGCGGTCTTCAGTCTCGGTCGTGGGGCTGGAAGGAACGTCCCGGGCTGGCTTCAGTCTTCGACCTCCAGTTCCTGGTTCTGATCCTGGATGAGAAATGTGAAGGTCGTAAAGTCTGTGTGCGAGGGACAACAAGTGGTCGCCTGACGATCGGTGGTCGACTCGAGGAGTGCTGGATAGTGCAGTAGTCGTATTTTACTTCTGGGGCCCGGCGTGAAGAGAGCGGAAGTAGTCGGCCTCGCTGGGGTCCACTTCCAGCCCCAAGAGCAGAGCGTCCAGGACGGCTTTGTGCAGCTGCTCCAACTTTTGAAGGGAATCCTTCATGAACGCCCGGAATCCGGGGAGGGTATTTTCGTCGACCCAACGATTATGATAAAAAGGTTCCTGGTCGCTGCCAATATCGTAGTGCTCTTGCCGCCAAAAGTCCTGTTAGCAAAGTCTTTATGGACCCTGACGTTCTCGTTAAATTAATCGACGCGGCACTGCTGAGTCAGAATATATCTTATGAAGTGGTTAACTGATGCCATTCCCACAACTACAGTTTTTCGATTTGCATGGATCACTGTTGAGGGGACAGTCATACGGCAGCTTCTAAAACAACTTATTATGCCTTCGTTGAATACCGACACTGAACTGGTCACCTATTACGTAGCGAAATTGGCCCACTTATCCCCGTCATCTCAACTTTCGATACTCAGGCGACAGGACTTGGCCTCACTGGATCACGTTCAGACTCGTGCTCTGGTTGTTGACGATGACGCGGAATGGTCTTTGATAGAAGCGCGACGGCACGAGGCCACGATCATCCATTATAGTCGATCACTTTTGCACCCGCTTATTCACGATGACAGTTGTACATGTTGCGGGGATGTTGCGGCCTTGATGAATCAGCCTCTGATTAGATGGAACGCCCTCTCCAACTTGGAAGAGTTTTGCGAAAGCAGTGCCGCATTCGCCCGGTGATCCATATTTGTCGCTCCTATGGTATCTACAGCTTCGCCGAGGGTGTAAGGAGTTGGCCCCAATGCCGTCGGATTACCGATCGACCATCCTCTACGATATACTCACTGACATAGATGCGGCTCACACACTTTCCCTCTTGCTCGGTGCGGAGTTCACTACAAGTTGCCCTGGCATGGTTACGTTAGTACAGATGGCCCCGCCGTCAGACTACGAAGACTTTTGGCTGGCATTTGGTATGCGACACGGGTTTGGAACAAGGGTAAAGGATAAATTCGTTTAACTCAGTGCCACTACTCTTGGGGTTCGGAGAGCCAGCCAATTGATACAGCTGGCGTTGAATATCGGATCGCCTGAAGACTACATTAGTATCAAGGCATGTCTTGACGATGGACGCAAATTACACCATTCTACTGGAGTGTTGAACACCGACTTGGCATGTGAAGAGATTGGCATGAGCCAGCCTCCTACGAGTGAGGCCTTCGCAGCTATCGAGAGGAGAGTGCGAGATTGGAAAGCATACTCTATGGCGAAGCATAATAGGGTGTCAGGAAACCACATCCGGTCACCATCTTCGAGGGCCTCTGTGAGGAAATTACGAAGGAACAAGGGAAACTATCGGGATCATCTTGTACAGCTCGTAAGGGGAGGCATTCTGAACATCTTATGTCTCATCCCCCAGAGAGTGACCATCATGCCACCATCAGAAGGTACCGCTCTGACAGCGACCTCGTACAGAGACCTTATGGTTGGGGATTGCATCCTAGTCGGAAAGATCTTCAAAGTATTTCGACCTACATTAGTCGCGAGCGCAGATGCCCGACTAATCTGGACCCTCTCCTCATTACGGGGGCCTTCATACCAGTACGGCTTGGAGCGGTCGAACGAAGGGATCATGATACAACAACAACTCTCATCGAGCATATTGCTGCGTGCCTTGCAGAGGGTCCATTGATACATTCACTGCGGCCAGCTGTGGACACATCAGGACCTCCAATTCAAGTTTCGTTTTTTTTTTTCCCAGTTCCCCCTGGTACTGTGGAGAGTGAAGCCTGGTCCAGGAGTCAAGTTGGGTTGCAGGAGTTCCGGAATTATAAGACCCTGTAGAGGATTACTGTTAACTTTCTCCCTTACTTTGAGGACTGAATCCACTCGGTTTACCCATGACTTGTTCTTTCATTGATACCGTTCTAGATAGACACTTCTAGTTGTGCTAGGGAATCTTCGCAGGCTCAATAAGCTGCTGTGCTTGCTTCATTAGTGTTTACAGTCTATAATCTACTTTCCTGATGATCATTACACACAACAGTGGGGTTAGCCTCTCGGCCATTTTTGTTGTGGTTTTTTGAGGAAGATCAATTGTTGTTCTTCATATCTGAAAACACGAGGCAACAAGCTTGTCGGCTGTCTTCCGTTAAGGTTTTTTCTCGAAGTCATTCAACGAGAAGGGCGTCCCGGATAACCCCCAGCCTGCGCAGTGATATACAAGAAAACTTGAGTAAGTACCGATGGTCTATTCTCGTATCCATAAATTAGTTACCTTGCCGCTCAGCGTCGTGCAGATGGCGACCGGATCGTGTTGGCAGAGATGAGCCAGTTTATCAAATTCGATCAGCTCGCGGATGGCTCTCATCCCATAGACCATGGATACAGAGAGATGGCATTCAGGCATGTGGCTAAAGTACGGCTGAGCGGACGGCAAGCCCTGTTTCGCACACTCTATGGTATATTTATATCGTAGCTCATACAAGTTGCTATTCGTGTATACCGAGTAAAGTCCAATGCGACTGATCTAAGATATATAATCCTATCATGGCCCGTTCTCGGCAAGCGACGACGGCTTCGAGCAGACGAACCGAACGGAAGACTACATTATTGTTCTCAAGAGAAGCCAGACTCCATACAAATTATATGCAGAGAAGCTCCAGGCAGCGAAGCGCTGAGTCAAATCGGCGGCTCCTTGTGTCGACAGATATAACGTCTGACCCGCTTCTCCTGGAGGACATTATTGACTGAGCAGCGTGACCGACCCTGTCTCAGCTGCAACATGACCGACCGAGCCATTGCATCCATCCGCAAGCCGAATTGCCTTCATCTCAAGTGGTTCGATTTTATCATCTCCGTGGAGAGCCATCCGAGTCGCATAGCTAGAGAGCAGTGTCAGAAACTCTGTTGCTCGCTCTCCACTGCAGAATGAAGTCCAATAACGGAAATCGATCTCGATATGCGATGGTGACACCATCACTGCAATGCAGATATCATACTGACAAGGCATTAGCGTGGAAGGGAGCGGCAAGAGGGAACGCTTACCTCTGTCGGGTCATGAACCTCCAGCACCTTTACCTTGATCCCGTCTTGGCTGTGCTGGTCGGCATTGCCGGCTTGATGGGCAGATTGGACCGTCAAGCAGGTGTTAAAGAACCCCTTTGGATCGTGTCCTGCCCGGGAAAGAATTTCTGGCAAAGAGCAGTGCTGATTTGCCATGCGTCGATTCATCTCCGTTTGGTTTTCTCGTAGAACATCTAGCAGTGTGCGAGACTGGCTTAAACGCAGAAAGCACGGCAAGACATTGAAACAGGAGCCGACCAGTTTCTGGATGTCTGGCAGTGGAAGGTCACGGCCGGAAAGCAGTGTAGCAAAACAGACCTCGTTTCTGTCGGTATAGTGCCGCAAGACCAAGGCCCAGGCGACTTGGAAGACGTTGGTCAGAGTGAGTTGATGCGATTTCAGGAATCGATCTAGCCCGCTACGGTTGGGAACCATGATTTTCTTTGAGCGCAACTGACCGTGACTACGGTTACGCTTCCGGTCCCCGGGAAGTACACATGGCTGACAAGCAGCCAGGAGGTCGGTCCAATGCTGCGTCTGATTTGCACGGTCTTGGGCTTGCAAGTGCGATATGTATGCGCCGTAAGAGGGAGCGATCTTCGGAGATAGACCTTCTTCTCTCAATATGGAAGCCAGCTCGCTCAACAAAACGTCCATTGAAGTAGCATCAATGAAGCCTTTTCCGAACGAGAGCTTACAGAGGGTCCGATCGTCCGAGGTTTTGCCCACAGCCATCTGCTGGGAAGGAGAGATGTCCCACGAATACCGGGGCGGCAGCTCTCTTAATTGCTGTAGAGTATCTGAAAAGGAATAACAAGAGGGCAGGACAGTCACATCTAGGGATGGTAGCTTCAGTACAACACTGAGAAACTTTCCTTGCCTGCCAGGATGTTCAACAAGGACGGTTCGCAAAGTAGCATGACGTCGGCTGAGCTCCCGCCAGGCCTTCGCAACCCGGGCAGGCTCAATCACCCCTTGATCTGATAAAGTGATCTCAAGTATACTCTGCACGCGATGGCGAGATGCGGTTCCTGTAATACCAGTGACGAGTCCACAGTGGGCATCAGAGCACGGGTAGATACTCTCGATCGAGGAGACGGAGGAGATGCGTAGCGCCGTTTTAATTTTCTCTTGCAACAGATCGAGTTCGCTGTAGCGAAGCGGTGCCAGCGGAATGTCACTCAGCGTCAGCTGGCTGTCCTTATCTATCAATTCCACTGCCGCCTCATGCAGAGATTGCTGGTATGCGCTGATCCAGCGGCCAATCTCGGGCTTACGATGCGTGTGCCCGCTGTACCAGACCTGGACACGAAGGCAGCCGTTGCGGACGTCTACAGCTACGTCGAATAGAGTCTGGCGTGGCATATCGGCTCCGACGTCCAATCGCTCGTCCAGCTGCAGGGGGGTGTGCGAAAAGAGTGCGCCCGGTCGTTCCAGCTGTTGGTACCGCCCACTGTAGTTGAACAGGATCTCCATGCGATCATGGCCAGCGAATGCTGAGCGAAACTCCGGTTTGAGGTGCCGTGAGCTGAAATAAGCTAGCCCATTGTTCAGCAGACTCCGGGAGACATCCTTGACACGACGGACCAGCTCACGAAGGCCGAGTGAGGCTGTGCTGTCCTCCACCGTGCAAGGCCGGACGATCGTAAACCAGCCCACAGTCCGGGAGAGGTCGATCCCCTGACGACCAGCCTCTCTGCCATGTCCCTCACTGAAGATTGTTGGCGTCTCTCGGTCCTTGAAGGTGCGAGCCCAGGAGTGCAGCAGAGCTGCTTGGAAGATCTCTTGTGGCTGGGAATTCCATGTCACGTTCGCCGGACCCAGTAACTTATGGGTGGTGGCTTCATCGACAGTGAATTCATGACATTCAGCATCCCCGTATGTGTTGTGTTTCGGAGACAGATCCCAGTAATCATAGTTGGCCGGACGCACTTCGAAGGGAAGGACCTCCTGTGGCGTTGAGTAAACCCGACATTCAGTCTCCAGAAATTGTACCCATTTCGCGAAAGAGACAGGTTCCTTCATGGAAGGGTCATGACCTTCCAAGAACTCCTCTATGTCGTCTAGGATAATGCGCCAGGACACCAGATCCACGACCATATGGTGACCGATGAAGAGCGCGTAGTCACCATCTTTCGGAGTATGGATGAGGTCTAAGGACAATACTGGGCCCGTCCGCAAGTCCAAGCAGTTATGGGACTCTTCTGCAAGTACACGAGCCTGTTCAATCCGTGCTACGTGATGTTCTCGTATCCGTAGCGAATGATCTGCCGCCGACTGATACTTTAACCGTAGGTCACCCGATTCCCCGACGACGAGCCGGGTCCGAAGCATTGCATGATGATGGACGATCTGATGCAGCACTCGATTCCAGTCATCCAGGTTGACTTGCCGGTTGACCTTGACCAAGAAAGTCTGGTTGAATCGGTTTTCTGCCATGCTCGCCGATGGAAAAATTAGTGACTGGATTGGACTCAACTTGAACGGAATCTCTTCATCGACGGCATCCAGATTGTTAAGAAGTGTATCCCCTCGAGGCAATTGAGCGTTCTCACAAAATTGAGCAATCGTGTTGTGGGTCAGAAACTCCTGCATAGACAGTGGAATATCCGCCTTCCTCGCAAGTGAGAGCAGCTGCATGGCGGAGATCGAGTCACCACCCAGCGTGAAGAAGCTATCATCAACCCCAATAGCGGTCTCTGGCAGCGAAAGCACCCGGGCATAGAGCTTCTGCAGGCGGGCTTCGAGCTCAGTCGAGGGTGCACGCTTCGAATAATTGGCTCCGAGATAGATTTCGAGGTCCTTACGCTCTAATCCGCAGATTTGCTTCTTCAGGGGCCTTCGATCCGTCTTGCCAGAAGGACTGAGTGGAATGTAGCGAGTAGGAACCAAGATCCAGGGAACCATGTAGGGTGGCAAGGAATGATGCAGATGCTCGCGCAAACGCGCCATTTCCGCCTTGTTGGAGTCAGAGGGATGAAACAAAAGACTGGCCTCGTTATCACCAAGCGAAGGTTTGGCGTCAACCTGTCTGAAACAGATGTACAGCACGACCTTAGACCCTAGGCTGTGCTGAAATGACACAAGATCCGCGGCAACCTCGATGTTGGGCATGAATTGCTGCGCGCAATGCTCAATCTCTCCCAGCTCGAGGCGTTGCCCACGGACCTTCACTTGGTTGTCCTTTCGACCGACGAAAGAAAGCGAGCCATCGGGATTGAAGCGTGCCAGATCGCCTGTCTTGTATAGCGTGCCCTCGCCTAGGCAGAACTCCGAGGCCCACGATACATTACGAACAAAGGCCAATGCCGTCTCCTTTGGTCGGTGCAGATAGCCTCTCGCCACGGTGGGACCTCCAACCACAAGTTCCCCAACTACTCCCACAGGCTGCAGCTGATTGTGGTTGTCGGGACGGACAATCCAGCACGTTGCAGCAGGAGGACAACCGATAATAGTCGAATCGGTGGCCAGCTGAGTCACTCGATGGATAGTTGTGGCTATCGTGCATTCCGCCGGGCCATATGCAAAGTGGAGTTCAACTCGTGGGAACCATTTTTGCAGATCGGATGGAGACGTTGCCTCCCCTGCGAGAATGAGAGTGCGAAGAGTTGGAATTGCCGGCGGTGA